TCCAGGTCACGGGGACTTCAGGCTCATATAACAAACCCATGCGAACATGGCTTCCTCCCTGGACCTTCTGACCCCTTCCTTGATTCTCTGCCAGCACTGTTTCAGGATCTCCACTTCCCATACTGTGGGTATGGGAAGGAGGAGCAATACTGGCAATGCACTAGGGTACATTCCGGTGCCAATGCCATGGCGTTGAGCCCAGAGTCACAGCTGAGTGCTCCCGTGCACGGTGCTCCCCTTCCCAGACTGACGTCCAGGCCCTGCTGGTCCAACACCCTCGAGGCACCATCATCCCCATATGCCTCCGCTGTGCCTGTGAATCCATATCACCCAGGTCTCGCAAGTCCTTTGACAAATAGGTGATTTCCTTATGGGGCAGCGACTGTATTTCTCCTACTCGGTCTGTCCTGACACATGATCCTCTCTCTCTGGTGGTCATGAGTGTGGCGGAGGTGGGTCCTGAGGATGACCACCGTGCTGCGGGGCACCTGCTTCGAGAGCAATCTGCCGCAGGTAAGGGGCAGGGGGCCGCTTCTGCCAGTCCAGAGGGTTCAAGGGATTCTAGGATTTCAAGATTCACATTTACCTAAACGGTAAATGGGTTTCAGCTCTCAAGGTCCTTTTTCCCTTTAGCATACTGACTTCGATATGGCAACATTTTCAAGGGTAGACACTCATTCTCTTTAAGGATTCTGCCACCTTTGCAGTTAGATTCTGGGCCTGGTTCTCAGCACTGTGTTCTGGGACTAGAAGAACCAAACATCTCTTTAAATACTGCCGAGGATGTCTTCTGGTTTTGTGCATGTCTTAACTTTACGGTTGGCCAAACTAAGTTTTGCATCTTTTTCCCCCAAGACTTCCAACACAGTTAATAAAAGAGAACCCACTCAAACTCCATACCTTAGCCTCGTACCATACAGATGCCACAGATAACCACTTCCCTTCCCACTTGTATCATATCGCAATCCACACAGGAGACAACCGAGTAACTGTGATGCTTCTATAGGTCAGGGATTCTCTCCATCCCACTTACTGTCCCTGCCATCTGGCTGGCAAGTGAATCCCTCCATATATCCCATCCTGCGGGTCTGATTTCTAGGGCTACTTCTGACGCCAGCTCTTTTCTCAGGGTTCCCCCTGAGACCAATGCTTGTGCTCAGGTTCTTTATTTGGGAAGTGATCCCAGGGAACAGAGGAGTGAAACAGGTCAGGAGAGAAAACCAATATAAAAACACCTACTAAGTTGGGCCAGCTCTGCGGGTCACTTCTACAGGACTTGCTTAATCTTGCTAAACCTTTTGAGGAAGCTTAGGAAACACATCCCAAAACTCTCCACCTGGACACTCTCTACCTGGAGGATGAAAGGGAAAAGAATTTATCCATTGTTCCCTCCCCCCAGTTAGTCAATGGAGGACCTACAGGCACTGACTCCCCTGAATTTCCAGGTTGCATATATGTAAGTTTGGAGGAGATCACCAGAGTATCCCAGGACAGGAAGTGGGGAGTGCAGGGCATGCCTGGGGTGGGGGTGGGGAGGGCATGATCAGCTTGCACCTGTGTGAGGTTGTCCATACCTGCTCAGACCCAGTCATGCAATAGAATTAGAGTTTGAGGATTTTAAATGGGGCACAATAGGTGCCCAGGACCGTCCACCCATATAAGGACCAACCCACAGAACTGCGGAGGCTGATGCTTCAATGTTAATTTCACTGCAGGTGGTCCAAGCATTAGGACTCCACGTGTTTCTTCAGGAATTGCCCCCAGAGCAGTATAGAAACCAAACAAGAAACTCAGTGACATATTTAGGTTTTTTAAGCCAAAACAGTATGCCCAGCTTAATTAACATTGTCATTAGCCATAACAAGCTCTTCCCAAAGAAAGATGATTTGCCAGTATGGAGAAGTTCATTCCAAAATTATAGAAATGTAATATACAGGAGTAAGACTGGTGTCAATCTCATTACTTCATGCTCAGTCACACCTGACGTGAATAACTGTGTCTGTGTATCTGCCTGTGTGTCTGTGTGTTGTGCACAGCTGTACCTGTCTGTGTCTATACTGTATCACGCACATCTGTGAGTGTATCTGTGAGCTTGTGTGTCTGTGTGTATGGTGCTTGTGTGTTGACCATCAGCTCCGTGCCAAGCCCAGTGCCAGGCACGAGGGACGCCCCGCGTAGAGACTCTATTCTCATAACACTTAGATGCAAAACAGCCTAACTTGCCAGGGAGGAGAGACATAAGAACCTCCAACTCCTAAATTATTGTTGCAGGAGGCGAAGTTATGGCCTCCCAGGGACAGAACCTGTGAATATGTTATGTAACATGACAAGGGGGAGTTGCGTATAGAATTAAAGCTGCTAATCACTTGACCTTAAAATAAGATTGTCCTTATTATCCAGGTGGGCCCAATATAATCAACACCGGTCCTTAAAGGATGGAAGAGGGAAGGCAGAGGAGTCGTGTCAGAGTGATTTGTTGTGACAGAGACTCAGCCAGCCACTGCTGGCTTTAGAGAGGGAGAGGGCCACAAGCCAAGGAATGTGGGCAGCCTCCATAAACTGGGAAGGGCAAGAAAACAGATTCCCGCCCCCCACCAGAGCCTGCAAATGGAACGCATGCCAGCTGACACCTGGATTTTAACCCAGTGAGACCCATTTTGGACTTCCAATCTCCAGAACTTTAAGACATTAAAATCTGTATTGCCTTAAGCCACTAAATCTGTGGTGATTCCTTAGGGCAACAACAAGAAATGAACATGCCTGTGGAAACGGCATTCAGCTCTTTAAAATGCCTCCCCCTCGCTCTGCTTCGAGCCTTAACTTAAAGGTGCGGTGGATTATATTTTACCTCGGGTTGGGATGAAAAGTCAGCATTTAAGGAGAAACACGTATGCCTTTCATTGCGCAGTTTGCAGAGAGCCGGGACCAGAACTCAGTGAAAGCAGCAGATCAACACTCCCCAAGGTGCCCTCACTCCTGGGCTTGGCCTTACTGACTACAAGGGCCAGCTAAACAAATCACACCCTTTGAATTATCTCTCTCTCCCTCTAGGCATTCCATTAAATTTGCATCAATTCAAAGAGCACTTGCTGGAACTCCACTGTAATTTCAGATTTTGTATTTTATTTCCTGAGTTTGCTGTGGAAGGAATGGAAAAACAAAACCTATTTGTGCTGTGGCAAGTTTTCTTTTATTATGAAATATACCAAGCATACAGAAGAATGTGACCATATCACTCCCCTCTGACAAATTCTAACATTATTCTATATTTGATTCCTGTTTTTTAAAATAAATGAAATATTACACGTACAGTTGAAACCCAGTGTCCTTCTTAGCCTTGCAGATGCTGCCTTCGGCCCCCCTCTCTCCCCTCCCCCCAGGAGCGTTCCCCATTACTGATTTTGGTATTTGATTTTGAGAGCAGTCTTGTGCATGTTTTTATAACTCTACTATCCAGTTCTGTGTGTACCCGTAAAAAAGTAAAGCATCAGTTTACATGTTCAGGAAGATTGCACACATGGTAGACTGCATATAAACTCTTGCAAATTGCCGTCCTCTCCGGCTCAACACTGTGTTCCTGAGTTTTATCCGCACCGACACCTGTAGCTCTGGTTCATTCTTTTTAGCTGCTGAATAATATTTGATTCTGTAAAAATACAATTTGTTTATCTGGTCTTCTCTTCACATGTATTTAGGCTGTTTCCAGTTTCTCTATTACAAACAGAGCTTCAGTGACATCTTGTCCATTTCCTCGGGCCCCTGTGCTCGAGTTCCTCCAAGGCACAGACTTAGGAGGGAAATTGCTGGGTCAAAGGATGCGTTTTGGGTTAGCATCACCGGTAATTGCCAAATTGCTTTGCACAGGAGTCACACCAATTTCCCACTAGTGGCCTCTGTAAGTTCCCTTTAATTCGTATCCTGACTGACACATACTGGTTTCTGCCCATCTGATTGCTAATGGGTCTTGTCCTTCTTTGGGGTTGCATTTGTTGATTCTCACAGCAACTTTGGGCGGAGGCCTTATTTATGACCACCTGGCAGGAAGGCACGGGGAGGCCCAGGGAGGGGATGAGGAGCTCAGCACCGATGACTGTGGCCATGCAGGAGCCGAATGAACCTAGGAATCATGAATCCCAGCATTTGTCGCTAGAGGAGCTGAATACAGAACACAAACTCCGCAGCCACCTTTAGAGAACAGAAGATAGGAAATCATTGGCACTAGGTCATAAGTAACAACTATCCACACTGGCAGAGAACATGATAATTGTCATTTTATGGTGACTGCTCAGCTCCTTGGAGACTGACTGGCACACACAGGGCATGCACTCGGGACACTTGCAGAGGAAAGAAACTAAGGAAGTACTGCAGAGTTCTTGAACCTCTCCAAGTCTTGACTTCCGCATCTGTAAAATGGGCACATAAATACTTACCTGGGAGGGCTGTGGTGAAAACCAAGGGCCCACAGCAGATGCTCCAAACATCCCCTGATACCACACACTGGGAGGCCCCCCGAGCGTGGCTGCACCCCACTCCCTAGGCAGACACCACAAGAGGCAGCTGAGTAGGTAAGAGTAACGTTTACTGAGCAATAAAGGACTGAGTACTATGAAGGGTTTACCAGGATGGAAATGCACCCCACGCCCGCCCCGGCCACCCCCAACACCCAGAGACGACTACAGTACTTAGGGTTACACACAATGGCCATAACTGCTGGATATCTGCTCGTAACAAACAAACCATAGCATATTTATACTATATCACATCGAGTGATTATAGAAATCCATATATATATTGCTTGTATAAAATCTTTTTTTTTTTTTGTAAAAAATATTAAAAAAAAAAAAAAAGAAAGTATAAAAAAACATGTGCAGTTGAAAGCCCTGCCAGGACAGCCAGTCTGTAAACATTCGGTGAGTATGTGCTTTGGAAGGGCGCCCGCGCCTCGTGCCCGCAGCAAACTCCGGCAGGGCCGCGGAGGGTGCGTCCCGGCTGCCGCTCCCAGCTGGACCCTGGTGGCCTCGCAGCAGGGTCGGGAGGCAGGGCCGGGGGCAGGCAGGCTGCAGTTGGTCTCTGAGTTCCATGCCCAGCCACATTTCGTTTGCAACTCAAGGCTTTTCCTGGCTGCTCCGAGGTCTCTCCGCGGGCACCCAGTGGAGAGGTCAGAGCGGCGCCCCAGGCCATTCGCTGGGGTGTCTCTCTGGCCAGGGGTCTCTGTCCTGCCTCCTTCGAGCTGGGCCCCCGGCAATGGCAGCTCCATCCGAGGGTCGACTTTGGTCTCAGCGCTTGGTCCTTCTGGTTTCGTCAGCCCATTCTTCCCCTTATGTGGCTGATCGGAGTTTCACAAAAAAAAAAAAAAAAGCCCGGCCAGCGCTGGCTGGGCTGAGCCTCGTTGTCAAGTTTGTCATGCAGCAAGGAAGGGCCCTCTGGGAGCCCTGGTTCTCTCCCCTCTTCCCAAATCCTCCTCCTCGTCCTCCTCGTCTTCCTCCTCCTGTTCCCAGCCCATGGTCACTTCTTCTCTAGCTGCTCGAGCAGCGGGTTGCCTTCAGACTCAGGGGTCTTGACGCTGTCTGTCCGGACAATGCAGGTGGGGCGGTGCCGGTTCAGCATCAGAATGAGCTGCTGTCGCTCCTGCTTCAGCTCCTCAATCTGGGTCTTCAGCTCCGCATTCATGAGTTCCAGCCGCTCAGATTCCTGGAAAAGAGACGGGGCTGTCAGCTCTCGCTGGGGACCAGCTCTACCTGGGGAGGTACAAGGCATCCCCGGCTGGCCTCTGCCTGTCTTCTGCCTGTCACATTCCCACTGGAGGAAGCATTGGGCCCCTGGGGTAAGTGATTTTCTGCAGCAGTGCCCGTCACAGTGGTGACACGGGCCGGGGTCAACGTGGGATGAACCCGGGTTATATTCCGGGGACCAGCCCGTCTCTGGTCCCACCTCCCTCCCCTCACTCAGTGCACTCCAGCCATAGCGACTTCCTTGTTATCACTCAAATATGCCAACACACTCCAGCCTCCTGGCCCTTGCCCCAGAAACAAAGGGTGGGAGAAGAATAAGGGTCCAGGGTCACTACAGCAGGGGCAAGAAGGGTCCAGAGGGGGTGAGACGTGGCCCACAGTTGGCAGTGCGGTGCTTAGATGTGTGATGTGTAACTGTACGTTGGGGCCAGTGGGATCCCCGAGCCCAGTGGGGTCATGTCATTCCTCCTAAAACATGGGTTTTCTGATTATTAGCCCCAAATCATTTAAACAGCCTCTTCTTTATCCTCTGTTATCTAGAAGTTTTGCCCATTGGGAGGCACTCAGCTGCCATCCTTCTGGATCCAAAATAAAGTTTCACATCTCAAGTGAGATTCCCAGTGAACTTCTAGCTTAGCGGGAGTCCCTTTTTCCAAGGAAAAGGAGCCATGCTGGCCATTTGATTTTGGGGGCGTTCACCTGTTCGGAGTGTGGATAGGTGATGAGCATATATACCAATTCAAGGCTTGGGGGTCAAAACAGTGAAGACTGGAAAGCTCCTGAATGATGTTTATGGGACTGTGTCTGAAAACCGGCAACCAGTTCGAGAGCTACAATTTACTCAAGGGCCGGCGACGTTTTCGCCCACTGGTTCTCAACTAGGAGTGGTTCTGCCTACCGGGAGACATTTGGACGATGACTGGGGACGTTTTTGGTTGTCACAACTGGGGAGGGGGTTGCTGTTGGCATCAAGTGGGTAAAGGCTGGGGGGGACGGCCAAACAAGAAGAACCATCTAGACAGAATGTCCACAGCTGAGGCTGAACAACCTGTAGCAGGCAAAGGACAAGCTGTGGTTGCGGTTGCGTGTGCGACAACTGAGCTGGGTGATGCCAGCTTGGGTCCGGGGGCTGGCCCCTCTGCCCGGCAGGGCCAGGCTGAGCTGCCTCCTTCGGGGGGCCCTCGGGGGGTGCCCACACACATCCCAGGGCTGCTGACTGTCTCCCACCCGCTGGCCTGCCTGAACTGTCCTTGCGCTGGTCTCTCAGGTCACAGCATGGGAGCCCAGGCAGCTCAGACGGCCAAGACGCACAGGCCTCGTGACCAGACACTGGGGGAGAACAGCCTCGAAAGAGGAAAAAAATGCTCAGGGGGAAAATATTAAAAACCAGCTATGGTGGTTTTTGGTTCAACAGGATGAAGCACGGCGGGGAGGCTGGCCCTGTCCCCTGTTCTCAGAATTCCAAGAGAAGTCATCTCCGGGAGCCGGGAGAGAGCCCACGTGAAACCATGAGTCCATGACCCATCAGTTGGGGTCACGTAGGTGCTAATCTTGGGTGCCTGCTCACTGGGTCTAATGAGCTCGTGACCTTGGGGACTTCTCGCAAACCCTCTGACCGTCTGGTTCCCCCGAGCCAAGGTTTTAGCTCCAAGTTTGAGTCCTCGGAGGCTCTGTCTCTAGGAGTCTCTGCTCAAACACCCACCAGCATTTGTGAGGACTTGCAGGTCCAATGAATGTCTTAGGGACCAGGACCCACACAGCGGGGAAGAGCTTACTATGGGCCCATCAGGGCTGCAGGGCTTAAAAGACCTTCCAAGAGGCCTAATGGCTAGGTCTGGCCTCAGGTTTAAAAAACGGTTGAGTTGAGAGGGTCGGTTGGTGTGGAGGAGAGGGGACATCAGGAAGGGAGCCCTGAGTGAACACGGACACAGACACGGGAAATAAGCTAAAGATGTGTTTAGGAGATGAGATCTTCCACTGTGACCATAGGTCACTTTAAGACAGAAGGCCAGAAGGAAGGTGAATTTAGAGCCAACTAAGACAAAGCTTCAGGGTTTGGAATCAGAGTCTAGAGCAAGTTTCCTCACTACCCTGAGTCTTTGTTATCTTAAATATAAAAGATGATGCTTGTGGGGGATTAAAGGAACTCAGGGAAAGCACTTGTCAACTGAAAGGTTAGGGTGGCTTAAGGAGGAGGCTCAACTTTAAGTGTTGAGCAAGGGCCTTTGAAGAGACAGAAGGAGAAGAGGAGTAGGATGGTTCAGAGAAGCCTGGCAGGCCCAGGTGACTGGATCTGGAGAATGAGAGAGGCTGCCTGGGGGAGGGGTCCAAGGACTGCGGTGGGGGACAGGGCTGCTGTTTGGGGGTGGCAAGGAAGCTGCTGGGTTGCGCGTGAGTGGACGTTAAAAGTGGACGTGCGAGGTCCGGTGTCAGACACGCCGCAATCCGCACCACGCCTCCCCGACCTCCTTGACCGCGCGTCGGACCAACGTCATAGACAAACATCTGTGCCACACAGAAACCCAAGTAGGCATGTGGCTTCACACATTCATTCATCACTGGAATGGCACTGCGTTCTGTTGGTTTTAAAATCTTAGAATATACCGTGGACCATCCCAAACTCTGACCGGCCAACTGTCAGAACACAACTAAGTGCTTTGTAGTTTTATTTCCTTCTGTTTTATGGGGTGGTGCTATGTCTTTATTTATTGGGAAAGTAGAACTGAGTTCAGAAGAACCTTTTTTTTTTTTTTAACCACGATTGTAGAAGTTGTCTGTGGTTTTATAACAGCAACTACCTGGTCTGTTTTCCTCATTAATTAAGAAACGTGGGCTAGGATCGTCACATGTTAATTACGAAGCAAATAACTTTGCTTGCGTTTTTGTTTGTTGTTTTGCCTTCTGGTAGATATTTATTGCCCTGGAGAAAATGAAACCATTTGTTGTTTTAGAATAGAATTAGTGCAAGCGAATGAACATTGTCTCTTCCACGGCGCTCAGCAAAGGCCGGAGAAAAGATACAGGTGAGGGCTGGGTGTTCTGGCTTTTCATCCTGGCTGTGGGGCCTTGGCCAAGTCAATTCCTTTCTTGGGACTTCCGTCTCCTCCCAGAAAATAAAATGATTGGCCCAGGGGACTTTCAGCATTAAGATTCTCTGATTTTATCTTTTTTTTTTTCCCCAAAGATTTTATTTATTTAGTTGACAGAGAGAGATCACAAGTAGGCAGAGAGGCAGGCAGAGAGAGAGGGGAAAGCAGGCTCCCCGCTGAGCAGAGAACTCGATGTGGGGCTCGATGTGGGGCTCGATCCCAGGACCCTGAGATCATGACCTGAGCCGAAGGCAGAGGCTTAACCCACTGAGCCACCTAGGCACCTCTCTGATTTTATCTTTTAAAAAATAGTTACCCTAATGCACATAAAGTAGAGTTCTGCTTCCCAACTTTTTTGGTAATTATTGGGAAGAAGGCTGGTATGGCCCCTCCTGAGCCCAAAAGACCTGTCTGAATTAAAATCCCAACTCTGCCACTTGAGCTATGTCCCTGTGAACCAGACCCCAATTTCCCTGAGCCCGGCAACCCGAACAGCATGTTGGCAGGAGAGGAAGCCCCAGGCTCTAAGTCCCGCCTCAGCTGCTGTGGGGTCTTGAGCAAACTTCCAGCTCTCTAAGGCTCCGAATCCTCACTGGAGAGTGGGGGCTACCTCACCACCTTCAGGGTCGTGAGATGGAGCCCCATGTTGGGCTCTGTGCTCTGTGGGGAGTCTGCTTAGGATTCTCTCCCTCTGCCCCTTCTCTCTCTCTCTCTCTCAAATGATAAATAAATATTTTTAAAAATAATAAATGAATAAATGGCAAGAGAATTCCTCAGGTCTGTGGAATCTCAGCCATCTGCGTCTGTGTCTTAAACCTCACACCCAACTCTGTTTCCGAGGCCAGAGGGGAAGAGAGGAGCACGGGAGGAGACCGGAACTGGGCTGGCTCCAGACAGGCCTGCCCAGACCTCCCTCCCAGACCCCGAGGCCACCAGGGACACCTCCACAGTCAGGTAACTGGGCTTCTCACTGCCCCAATCCCTGTTCCACACTGCAGCCGGAGGGATCTTTCCAAGGCCTGTCTCTCTCCAACGGAAACCTTCCATTGCTGTCCATGACTGCATAATCCATCATCATAACGGGGACACTTGTGAGAGTGAAAGCGGGAGCTATTGATAAATAGGCCAGGACCAGAGGCATAAAAGGGGATTGCCCTAGACTGCGCAGCACAGAGGATGATCCTACATAGCGAGGACTGGGGGCTGCCTGTCCCTCCATTCTCCCCCTTGTACTGTACATTGTAGCTACAGTGTAGCTACAGCTACACTGACATGTTTTTCAATTCTGTAATCACATCCTTAAACACCGCCTGCCTCTAGCCTTTGCTTGCACTGTTCCTGCTAAGCCCCTGTTCCTGCTAAGCCCCTCCATGCTGTCCTTCATCTCATTAGCTCCTGCGCCTCTTTTATGTCTCGATAAGCAATCTTTCCTCAGCGGGGGCGAGGCTAGGACCTCGCGGCATGTTCTATCAGCCCGCCCGGCTTGCCCAGTACCCGACGCAGCGCGCATGACCAGTCCCCGCTTCCATCTGCTGTCCCATGCAGACGTCACCTGCTTGTCTGCTCTGCAGCGGGTACTCACTACACACTGCATGGGAGGAGGGAGGGATGGAGAGCTGGAGGCAGGGGTGGATGGATAAACAAAGGGATAAATGAATTCCAGCTCTAACACTTGCTAGCAGTGTGACTTTGGGAAAGTAATGTGACCTCTTCTGAGCTCTAGGTCAGTCTCTACAATGGGGATAACCAATGTTTATCTTACTGGAATGTTGTAAGATTAAACGAGGCATGTGAGATGTCTGCATACAGTAGGTGCTCAGCAAATGTTCCTGGAATGTGAAAGACAGCTAGCAGCATTCATCGGGCACCCTTCACTGCACCAGTGTGTGTTCACTTGGCATATCTTGCCTGCTAACAGGCTGACAAGCCCTGGAAGGCGGGCATCTGGTGTGAGACTTCTCCACTCCCTGCTATGCCCTGCCCAGCTCTTCAGGCACTCAGGGCTGGAAAGGAGGTGCGGGACCCTCCATCCATCTTCGGGCCTGTGGGAGACCTGTGCCTTGGAACCTTCTTGAAAACTTCCAGCCCAGTGTTGGTCCACCATCTCTTCCAAGAAGGCTCCCAGCTCTTGGAGTCTAACTCCGACCTATCACGGCCATTTGCCTACCTCAGATACTCACAGCCCACTGGTGTACACATGGCCCCATGCTATCTACACCTGTGACCTTGGATTTTCTCTCTGCTTGTTGCAAGCATGAGAAGAAACCCATATATTCCTCAGCATCAGAGAAAACCAAGGCCACGTGAGCCTTTTGTCTCCAGCTCCCACAGGAGAGACTATGTCTGCTCCTTCCTATGTGTCCCCCATGGCAGCTGGCACAGTGCTAGGAACTTAGTACATGTCTAAAAATGTCTGTTAATGAATCAACGACTGAGTGAAAGAATGAACACACGGATGGGGCGCCTGGGTGGCTCAGTGGGTTAAAGCCTCTGCCTTCGGCTCAGGTCATGATCCTGGGGTCCTGGGATTGAGCCCCGCATTGGGCTTTCTGCTCAGCAGGGAGCCTGCTTCCTCCTCACTCTCTGCCTGCTTCTCTGCCTACTTGTGATCTCTGTCTGTCAAATAAATAAATAAAAATCTTAAAAAAAAAAAAAAAGAATGAACACAAAGATGAATGAATGAATGAATTAGAACTAGCAGAGTGTTAAGAACAAATGCTTTGAAGTAGCCTCAGGCTTGAATCTCAGTTCTACCACTCAGCTGCTGAGGGTCCTGGGCAAGTAACTTAACCTCACCGTGCCCTAGTTTCCCCATCTGTAGAGAGATGATAATGAAGGCACCAACCTCACACAGTTATCAGGCCAACGAAGAGATAATACACTCACAGGACTCGGCACACTGCCCAACTTTACAAATGTTAGCAACGGCTGCTACCTGCTGCATCCCACAGAACAGAGCCGGACCCACGGATACTGGTGTTACTATCATTACCTGGTAATGAACAAGCTATCCAGGGTAGGACGCTGGAGACTACCAGCGTCTGGACTGATGAGCGTTCCTGGTCATGTCCCTCCACCGCTATCTATCATTTTTGAGACATAGCAAAGGCTTAAGAGCTGGGACTCTGGTTGGGGGCTGGGGGGTGGTTTGGAGAACAAACACCCTGCTTGGCACGGTCCATGTGAAAGGGTCAGGACCCGCTTTGAGGGCCTGGGCGGGGGGTGGGGGAAGGTGACCCCCTCTGGTGGTCTTCACGCATGCAGAGCTGGGTCGGACCCCAAGGTCCCTGGGGGCAGAGGCTTGGGGGTCCCCCTGGTGGGGAGGGGAGGCTGAGGCCAGCCAGATGAGATGCGGGGCTGGAAGAGCCCCCTGCAGCTCAGGGTGCCAGGTGCCTCTCTGGTGCTAGGAGACTCTCCAGGTGCCAGGAACACGGCTCCCAGCTCAGCGGCTGTCGCCTACATGTTTAGCGTACGCCCTAGACGACTTTGGCAGCCACCAGGGTTTCGAAATGAGTAGGCACCGTCCTAGGCCATGTGGGTCAATCAGCACCAGGTCTGATCTCATAGAGGGGACTTGGCTCCTCCCAGCTTCTCTGGTCTTCCAGGGATCTGGCTGGGCGGGATCTGAGGCCAGTGGCCCTGGGTCGTCTTGGGCTGGGGAAGGGGCACTGGCTGGGAGTCAGGGGAGAGCCGAGGGGTAGCGGCCGTGGGGACAGATGCCAGCAGGTCCACCTCGATCCCACAGGCTTTGGTGACAAGCTCACTGTGAGGAACGAGACGGGTGCCCCGGCCCCCCCCCCCCCACCCCGCTCACCCGCTGCAGAAACTCTGTGCGTTCCTTCTTCTTGTTTCGGCATCGGGCTGCGGCCACTTTGTTCTTCTCCCGTCGTCTTTTCCTCCGTTCCTCTTCTTCATCTAGCTGTGAGGGCACAGAGCCGTGGTCAGACGGGGAGGCAGGCCTGGAGGACAGCGTCCCTCCTGACACACACAGACGGACGGACCGCCCCCTCCTAACTCACGTCTCAGCAGAACGTAAGCCGTCCCTGCCTGACAGCCGGCGGCTTCCCGGCTGGTGGGATGGAAACGTCTCCCGGCTAGCTCACCGGTCATTCTGGAGCAGGTGGGCAAACCTGGGAGGGGTCAGTGGCCCAGGAGAGCAGGGCGGTCGGGTTCTGCCAGAGTTCAGGAGGCTCCGAGCCTGGCACGTCTACTCACACAGAGGTCTCTTGCCCAGCCCAAGCCTACTGGGCACTATTTTCCAGGCCAGTGGTTCCCAGGCACTTCCTTTAAAAAATGCCTTGGGCACGAACACAGATTTCACATTCTACTCCCACGCACTTCCACCTCCCCAGGCTACCCTCCCTCCTGGTCCTTCCAGAGGCTCCCACCTACCTCCTAGTGCTCTCAAACAGACTCCCCAGTCTCCTCACCCAGTTCTGATTCTTTTCCTGTCTTCTGCACACTCCTCCCCTGACACCTACCTGTACCCCAGGATCCCAGGGCTCCCCAGAGTACCCTGCACTGGATACAAGCAGAGGGGCTTCCTAAATCTCCAGCTTGGCTTGCTTCTCCCCTGGGGCACCTTAGAAAGTTCCCCACGCATAAAACAGGGCCCATTAAGGGAAGGTAGCAATTCACAGCCCACCAACCCTGACTTTCAATGGAAGTTGCAGGTTCTGTTGTTTCCTTAGTAATAACAACAAGAGCTGCTCTCCCATGCCTTTTTGTTAAATGCTTCCCACACAGGTCATGCTATCCTCACAATCAATGAGGAAGGTCCTGTTGCTGACCCATTTTACAGTTGGTGGGACTGAGGCCCAAGGCCATCCAACTAAGAAATGGCAGGGTTGGGATTTCAACTCGGATTTCTCTGACTTCAGCCTTCCTGCTCTTGACTGACCACAGGCCCCACACAGCCCCATCAGGATCAGTTTGATGCAGTGCCTCTCGCTGCCTGTTAGCTACGCAGAGGATCTGGAGGACACACGGGACCAGCTGGGCAGGGGACAGCTTAGAGTCAGAGGCCACTAGAGAAGTCGCTGGATTGCTCTGGGCTTGCCAACTCTCTCACTTCTCAAGCCAGTGGGGGTGAATCTGGCAGCCTGAGGCCTGGAACAAGGTCTCAGCCCACAGGGCTCCAGGCCAGGAAAATAAACAGCCTCTCTCCGTGCACTCCCGGCATGCTCTAGGAGCTGAGGACCCAGAGCCTGGCCAGAGACCAGCACCCACGGCCATCGGCACAGGCCCCGGTGAGGCAGCCCTTTCTCCTTCTCCACCACCTCTGAGCTTTTCCCTGACCCACGCCCACCCCTCCTGGGAGGCTGGCCGGAGAGGCTCCTTGTCAACACCGCCACACCCAAGCACCTCCCAGCCCCTTGGCCTCCCTTGAAACCGAACCAGAAGTGACAGCCCCTTTGGCTGACCTGCATCTGGGAAAATAGAAACCCGGACAAAACTGATTCCACCCAACCCCAACCTCACCCCCAGCACCGCCGAGGTAACCGTGACGACAGGCAGAGGGAAGGAACTGGAGGAAGTGGCTGGCAGTGCAATCTCCCCTCGGCCAGGAGGGTTTGCCCACAAACTGCCAAGCCAAGGGTGTGCAACTGGGGCAGAGTGCGGGGCTCACGGGGCCGGGGCAAGCCGGGGTTCTGTCAGGGAAGCCACTTCCCAGGAGATACAAGCTCTGTCCTCCAAGACCCCGCTCCCCACCCCAGACCTGCACAGAGCCAGATGCAAACGGAAGCTGCTCCTGCCACAGATTCGAAGGGGCTCAGTGCTGGGCATTTAAGAGCTCAGCTGGGCCAGGCTGATGCCCACATGGGGTGTTGCTCCAGCCTCCCTGTCCCGCCTCATCCACCCCCTCCAGCCATCACCCTCTCTCCAAATGTCCCCCCTTCTCCAAGCCAGCTGGGCCCTCCTGAGATGACCTTCCTTTCCTCCTTGAACTCTTACTCGACCTTCAAGAGCAAATGTCACCTCTCCCAGGAAGGCTCTTCTGACTCCCCAGAAAGAATTAACTGCTTTGTGCTGCCACAGCACTGAGTACCCCACTGTAAGAGTCTCTCTCACGTCCTGTCATATTTGTCCTCCCCGCTGGGCTAGAGGATGGGGGACCTGAGCAGCCCCAACACCTGGCCAGAACACAGCGCTTCATACAGGCTTAGCAAATGTTAGTCGAATGAATGAAATAAAAGATACCAGGGAAAGACGGCACAGGCTTGGACTCTAGAATTATAAAAGCGATTTATTGCCTGTGTTTGTCTCTGCATTAGCCTTTCCCCGGTGCTAGTAAGGAGCCCTTTCCACCAGGGTTGGCCTCTTCGGTCTGCCTGCAGGAGGCCAGCAAAGCTGGGGGGTTCAGTCCTGTCTTCCCCAGAAGCACGTGGACCACAGAGCCTCGATCAGGGGCAGGCCCCTGATGTGTACGGTGGGTCTGCACAAATCCTGAATAGGCCCGGACACAGTCTGGGCTGGGCAGTGAAGCTTAACCCCTGCTAAAGTCCCACGGCCCCCCAGTAGCCTCCACGCCCACCCCCCAGGCCTCTCCTGCACCCCTGCTCCCTCTCAGCTGACATCTCCCAATAAAGCCAGAAATGGCCCGAAGCCCCACGACCACACCTCCCCCAAGGACACCGCACAGTGTCTTCCCCAAATCCTCCTGCTGCTACACAAGAGCCCTCCGGGAACATTTGGAAAACGGCAGCTTTAGTCCTGCCAAAAATAAGAGGGGAGCTGGGCAGTGCCCTCAGCCTTCTCTTCCCCACGGGCACTCTGTGTCCCCTGCCTGGGCCAGAAGGGAGACGGCCCTGCACCACTGCCACCGCCTCCACCCTCCTCCCAGCCTTCCCTCCCGACAGGTCAAGGCTACTTCCCGCTGCTCCGATGTGCCCCAGGGTCCCTCAAGCACTTGGCCGGGAGGAGGTGAGGCAGCAGACAGCGTTCTCGGCACACACAGTTCAGCTCTCTAAAACTGGAACCCCAAAACGGGGCATGACGATTTGTTTTCTGCAGATACAGCTGGAATTTACGAGAATATTTAAGAGGGAGGCAGCTGGACACATTTAAAGATCCAGGAGATGGGTGCCTGTTCTCAAAGTGAGCTCAGGCTCTCCCCAGTTCCCAGGAAGGCCCAGGGCAAAGCTGTCGGTGTTCTGGGGTGAGAAGAGAGGGTACCCTTGTGCCACACTTCCTGTCGGCCCCTGTGCCACACTTCCCATTGGAGGGACAGGCTAGGGGACCCATAGCCGAGAGGGTCCTCCTGCCAGGCAGTCCCTCCTCAGAGAGGCTGTTCTCAGAGCTCTGCTGTGGGGCTGGGGGACATGAGCCCCTGACCACGGCTGACTGGACGAGATGTGATCGGCTGACCAAGCTGGGCTGCGTTCACTCCTGGAAATCAGAAATCTGAAATTGGGCTGCTGGGCCGGGGGGCAGCCAGCTTCAGCCCCGGGCCCTGAGAAGCAGAAAGACCAGGCTGCTGATGTTCGGAGACGAGCAGAAACCAAACACCCTGTGTCAGGACAGAGACAAACACTCAACCAGAGAGGGGTGTCGGGGAGACAAAAAGAGGGAGTGGGTGACAGAGAGGAAAGCAGGGCCAGGCCCCCGGGTGCGGCCAGGGAGGCGCCCAGGACACACAGCGAAGGAGGCGCTCATTCTCGAGCTCACACAGGCCCAGGGCCGGCACCCGAGACTGACTGCCTCCTTCAACGGCCTCTTGCAGGGTATCCTGTTTGCCTCATCCCGTCCAGGCCCTGAGAGAGAGACGGAGCTCCCGACAGAGAAGGTGACGACAGAGATGGAGAGGAAAGAGAGAAACACAGAAACAAAGAGGCAGAGCCTTTAGAAAGAGGAACACAGAGGCATGAACAGAGGTTGGCGGTTCATTCAGGCCAAGAGGACAGACAGCACATGCAGAGAATCCTCTGGATTCCACCCCTGGAGGGGCCCTTGGGTCCTGCCCCTTGGGTCCCTGATGCATACCCCTGAAACTACCCTGAAAAATTCCTCTTGTGGCCTGGAGGGAGTTTGAGAAGGTTTCCACCTCTGGGACACCAAGGTCTCTTCCTTAGGAAATCAGGTGATGCCAGATAATAATGGAGGAGCAGAAGGTGTCCCCCAGGGATTCGGGATTGGGGGGAATCACTGCTACCCAGGAGCCATGCTTCTAGAACACTGAGAATATGGCAGAGTTGGGACGCTGAAGGACTTGAGCAAACAGAGGTGGGTGACCTCAGCAGGCATCAAATCCTTGGGCCTAGAAGTCCCAGCAGGCTGATCGGTCTCAGGAGACCATCTAGAACAGTCCTGTTACCCTCCCCCATTTTTACAGATGAGAAAACAAAGATATCAAGGCTGCCTGGGGGCAGGGACAGCTTCGAATCCAGGCCTTTTGGCCTCAGGGCCCAAGCACCTCCGGCTCTTTGAAGGGCTGGTGGTCTCTGTCACGGCCCCCCTGTCCTTTCAGCTCTGCTCCACTGGAGACCGGGCTGTAAAGCTTCTGGCTCTGAGGGCCATGACTATGTTGTTCTCTTTCCGATTTGGGTCTTTTAAAATAAATACAATTCATTGCACAAGGAACGCTGGATGGGTCCCGTCCAAGCTGACCGGCTTTGAGGAGGGGCCCCCCCGCCACTCCCCTCTCGCAGGCCATGTGGCTTTCACGTGGTAGCAACCTTCGCCCAGACTTGACTTTGAATTCTGATATTTCATAAGCATTTCCAAAAATATATCTGGCAGGGCCCACAAAGAGATAGGACAAGAAAGAGTGATGACGCTGTGTAACCCGGGGCACCGGACATATGGCCGCTCTCCTACGGACGGAGCAATGAAGGTGAGAGCAGTCAGGCAGGTGACAAGCAGGACTGGCGGGGGGGATCAGAACAAGCCCCCAACACTCGCCAGATAGCCGGAGGTCTG